AGTCTGACATGATCCTCTCTCTCTCTCTCTCTCACTCTCTCTCTCTCTCTATTTTGGTTGTTGGAAAATTCGTTTGTGTTTTTGATATTCATGAAATTGCATGTATGAATTAGTAAAAAAAAAACGAGCACAAAACTGGCATCTTTTCTGGTTATTTAGAAATTATTTGTCAAGAGCTATTCTTAGTTTTTTTTATATATATATAAACGTGTTTGTGAATAGCCGGCTTCATTTAGTTGGGAAAAGGTTTTTATAATGAAAAGGCTTTTACAATGATTATATATGATGATAAATATGTTTGTGATTGTTAACTTGTTGTTCATTTATATATAAGTATCTTTAATTGCAGGGAGAAGACAATAAGGTATCAAAATCTCATGACAAGTTCTTATTAGGCTCTAAGCAATATTCCATTGATTTGAGGGACTTTCCAATTTCAAAGAAATTTAATGAGAAAAGCATGGCCCATCAAATTTGCAGCCACCACAATTAGAGAGTCTTTGGCAACTCAATGAACAAATTGAACTTGGAAAGATAAGATCAAGAAACTCCTAAATTCTAGTACTGTCATTTTGAAATAAGACCAGTCCAATGCTTGAATTTGTTTGAATAGATTTAAAAGAAAATTGAAAAAAAGAATTAAAAATATGAGATATATTATATAAAAAAAAAGTTATCTGATTGGCCGGTTTATCTAGCTAAAATTGACCCATCAGACAAGTTAAAATTGGTCAAATATTTATTTTTTGTTTGAATGGAGTTATTGCTTTGGACCATAGCGGCCTAAATCAATGGTCCGATCATATCAGTCCAGTCTTGATAACTTTGTTGCGAAAGCCCTTGGATGAATCTCTCTGTTTTTCAACTTTTTTGTATTGGATTCTATGTCACATCGAAGTCTAGTACGAAGAAATTAATTAAACGATCTTATAAAAGTCCAACCTAAGTTTTAGATATGATAACTTTTACCTGTTTAGATGAACCCCTTTGAGAATAATGGTTATATGTATGCTATTTTTAAAAGAAAAAAGTTTATATAAAGCTTGGGTTTTAAACAATTAAATTAGAGCCTATCTCAAAATTTTCATTAAAAGGCGTTGTTTTGATGCACAAATATCCTCAAATTGATCATCTCGATATCAAGATGCATGAGCATGAGGAAAACACAAGGGATTTTATGTATGGGAAATAGTATGTCTAGTAACACATTTTTGAACCGTCAATTATCAATATTTTTGAATTTTCATAAATCTTCTCGATCGACACTTTTTTGGAAGCTTTAAATTTTATAATTAAATATAAAAATGTATTTTAAGGCTATCACAAAGATTTTCAGTATTGAAACCATATTTCTTGGTACTTTTTGAAGGTGGATTCTAGTTTGATTGTTAAGAGCCTTGGCTCTATACAAACTGCACCCTTTTTAAAAAATATGAAATGGGATAAAATAGTCATTTCCATGATTTCAAGTTTTTGTGAATAAAACTAAACATTTGAAGATCTTCACGAGGTCCATGTGGTGCTTCATGTGACTCATTACTATTAGTCATAAACTCTAGACTTATTTTGTATAGAATGGATGAATAAGATTCATGTGGTCAATCCAAAATAATTAGAAAAAATTTGGATGATAATGATGATGATTAATAATAAATTCGGATGCTGTTATGTAATATTTAATTTTATGAAAGTATCACTTCTAGAGAAATGCTTCAGTCTTGAATCATTTCTATCTCTCTCTCTCTGCCTCACTGCCCTTCCTTTCTTTGGTCGGATTGCTCTGTTATTCTATATATGTGTCTATGTATTGATTTATATAAAGTGTTATTATTAACAATCAAAGTGAGGTGCACCTACAAATCCTTTGGAAGATGCAGATCTTGCCAAAAATTACAAAGTAAATATCTGAAGTTAAGTGTAAATTGAGATCTATAAATACTCAGGAAATCTTGAAAATGGTTGGTCCATTTAATGTGTTATAGGATGTATTATTTTTAGGGCTTGAATGTTTTTTTTTTTTTTGTATCTAGATTGAGATGATCAATTGGAGGGTCTTCTAACGATTATCTATTTTAATAAGAAGTTCTTATCTTTAATAAAACCTCCGTAAGTGAGTTTTTGAGGTGCGTCCTGTAAGTTTTCTATATATATATATAGGAAAATTTTAAAAATGCCTATAGGAGCTATGGCGGTTGTACAATTTTTGCATAAAAAAAAGTCCATTACGGACTTATGTTCGTGATGGACCGCAACGGACATATTATGTCCGTAATGGTCTTTAATCCACCGCGTCCGAAAAAATCGGACAGCGCCGAGCCTATGGGCGAAAATATTGTTCATTTTTTTCATAGGTGTTTTGTAGTCTTTTCCATATATATATATATATATATATATATATAATGCTTCAAAATACAGATGTTAATGTTAGAAGCGGTTGTGATGAGTATATTTATCAACAAGATCATTATTTTTTGTTTAAAAAAAATATTTTATAGGTAACTTAACCATTTAATAATGACAATTTTGAAATTTTTATAAAAGTACAATGGTATTTTGGAAGTTAGTGCTTTGAAACTTTATTTGTAGAGTGATATTGTCTTTTAGTAAATATTTCAACTTTATCATTTATGGAGATGATAAAATATTCATTGTCTTGTAGTGATATTTACAGAATTACTCCTATTTAATGATGAAGACATCACAAAAATTAACCTTTTTTGAAAAAACAAATCACAAAATTAATAAATTCACCCTTGACAACTTATTATGTCATTAACTTTTGTAATTTGAAGGGTGGTGGATTTTAGATTA